AGGTGAAGACATTATAAGCTTACTTTAATTGCTATGTAAACACAGCCTGGTGAAAGCGAGTTGACAAGCTTCTGAGAAAGTGATGATGGAATATATAGGTTGCTCTCAAAAGCCTGTTTATTTCACTGTCAAGACTTCCTTATGAAATCTTCTCTAACTGATGCATATTCATTTTTGCAGCTGACATCAAGTTCTTGAAGGTGATCTAATCCAAATAAACTAATCCTATATCTTAGTGGCAACTTTCACATGTGGGATTTGAATGTAGACTTAACATGCAGCTAAATAAAAATATAGAAAACACACTATCACATGGGTGTTGGCAAGGGCTAGGTCAAAAAACTCAAGTTGATGGCTGCCATTTTGACATTTCTTTTGTTTTTATTTACCCCATGTGTACATTGGTATAATTGCAGATGGAAAAAATTCCTGATAGATCTTTATCATTTTAGTGTGCATGTCTCCATTTTATCATGTTTACCGGTAATTACATAAATGTTTTATCATTCTTTTACAGCGTAAAGATTTGGTTTTACTTATTGGTTAAGCATTCTTGCAGTTCTTGTTGCCTTGCATATTTTAAATATGGTCTAGGAGTCTATTCTTACTTGGTGTTTTAGCTTTCTTGTTTTCATATTCTATGTATATAAATTTGTCAGCCATCCTACTTATTATTCCTATATTTTATTGTCCCGTAATACCTTTATGCATTTTGCTTTTTTTAATACAGATTCCCAGTCTTTTTTCCTCCCTCCTCCTTCGCCAACTCCCTATATTTCAAAAACAACAGAAGACAGAAAATAAAAGTCTCCACCAGAGTAGAGAATAAGGAAGGACATTTCTCCAGGTAAAATATTCTTTAACCATTTTCAAGTAGGATTTCCCTTTCAATACAATGGTTGTATTACTCCTGAAGATGTTCCATGAAATTCATTTCCTTAGGTTACAATGATTAGATATCCCTCTACAATACTAAAAAGAATTTGACTACCTTGCAATTTAATATATAACATAGCTTCCATTTCTCAGAAATGCTTTTCTTATTTGAAAGAAAATTGAAGATACATTCTATTCCATAAAAATGAATGAGAAATTATTAAAAAAAATAATGCAGAGAATTTGATTGCTTAATGGTACAAGCAGCAGTGTCCATGGGGAAGATGCTGGAAGAGACAAAATCTGCAGGATGATGGGCCTTACAGTATGAATAACCCACCTTTTTGTATGTGCAAATATTGAAAAGGGTGGGATTTGGATCCAGCAGATTTTGAATCCTCTTCTCTATCTCTTCAACCTATAGACAATTGTGAGCAAAAAGAGTTTTTTTAAAATGTTTGAAATTAATAAGTTTAGCAGAATCAAATATACTAGTGTAGAAAAATATTAAATTCAAAAGATTGGGGGTTATACAGGAATTTCAGAGTTAAGAACAAAAAGTGATGATGGCTTTAGAAGTGATTGATTTGGTGATATAAAATTCAGTCTTTCAACCTTGGAGTGATTCCCACAAAAACAAAACAAAAGTAACAAACTAATAAAATTTCTGGGGAGAAATTGCAAAGAGAAGCAAAAAGCCAGTTTTTTTTCACCTGGGGATATCCTAGCTACCAATAACCTAAGTCAATGATAATCAACATTGATAAAATATTTAGACATTGTTAGAGAAAAGAAAGAAATAATATCCTTAGGTCATTTAAATAATAGAAGGTTAATAATTTTCAAACATATAAACATCAATGTATGAAAACAACACAATAATTTGCAACAAAATAATGAAAGGGGGGGGAGGAAGAGAAAACAAAAGTGATTTGACTGTCAACGCAGAGAGCTTTGATCTAAAAATACCCCTGATGTTTGTGTCCCTGTGCATTTTATTGTAGGCAGTGATAAATAGGTACTGCAGTTTCTTTTTCCGGATGCCAAGTTCCTTATCTTAATTGTTCCTTGACAAAGGATCTTTGTTTCTATGCTTTCTGATATATCATGTGGGTGCAGGAGAGCAGCTGGGGCAAATGAGATAAATACCTTATTTGGGCAGATAGGTTTAAATTGTGAACAACTCCAGGTTTCAGAGCAGTATTATTTTGCCAAGTTAACAGTCTTTCTTTCATAATTCCTACTTATTGTGGAGGAAAACTACTGTCAGTAGTTTTTTTTCAAACTAGGGTAACCTTGGGAACGTCCTAAATCCATTCCAAATTGTTTATGAAATATTATCATATTATAACTTTCAAGTTTAGATTGTGATACATAATATTACATGTGATATAAATCATTCTAGACCAGTGTTTGAAAAGTGAGCTCTTTTACCATAAAGATATAATTACAACCAGTTAATTATGTATTAGATGCTTTCATTTAACATTTAACATTGACAAATTGCTCTAAGAGTTTTATGTTTCTTTCTTTCTTTTTTGTAGCTTTTGAAGTATCCATTCATATTTCTCTGGAGACTTGCTTTAAATTACCCTGTTTCCCTGAAAATAACACCTCCCCCGATAATAAGCCCAACCAGGCTTTTGAGCGCATGCACAAAAATAAGTCCTTCCCTGAAAATAAGCCCTCCCTGAAAATATTGCAACACAGGAGCAGCCATAAGGTGACCATGCTCACCGCCTCCTGCACCTCAAAAATAATAAGTCCTCCCCGAAAATAAAGCCAAGTGCTTTTTTTGGGGATCAAAAGAAAATAAGACCCTGTCTTATTTGGGGGAAAACATGGTAATGATCCATCAGATTATTAAAAACATTCAAGAATTAGGCTCCAGTGAGGAATGTTTGACAGCCACCATCATTAGGTTGATGTAATTAATTTTCAGTAGTGAACTTTATCTAGGTATATGAGAGGAAGTTTCTTATCCAGAACTATTATTTTGTTTATCTAGTCTTCAAAGATAACATTTATTTGAATACAGATATTGTATTTTGAAGTTTTGGCTTAGTTTTGTTGCTAAATTAGAAGTTGTAATTCTGTTTATATTCCCATATTGATAAAAGTTGCAGATAACTGAAAGAAAAAAAAAATACAGGTATTTGAATAATAAATGCTTTTACCTTTTTTCAGGGACATAATTTAAAATTGGAGAAATTTTAGATTTTTTTCTCTTTGTACCACACACACACACACACACACACACACACACACACACACTGCACTATATTTTTTAGTGTAATCATATAAATCTTGTTTATATCTTATCAATCATCTTTCTCCCATAGCTTCCCTATAATTTGAAAAAGTTAGTTTTTTATCAGAGTATGGCATGGACTCATAATTTTATACTAAATAATTATCAGAATTGGTATTTACAATTTTTAATGCTTCTTCTTTTAGTTCAGTGGGCATACATACAAAAGAAGGAATTTGAAATAGAATCTTGCTTTTAAATGTTTATAACTTATAGCAGATTTCTCAATGGATGACCAACTGTGTGACTCAGCAGAGGACATTTGACCAATAAGGAGATTATTTTCTATACAGAAATATTTGATGGCCTAATTCCCATAGAATTTTATTACAGTCATAATATTTGAAATAAAAATAGTTATTTCATTATTTCAAAGTACTGGTTATATTTGAATGATGCTTGTCATTCACAAAATAGTATATTTAGTCCTCTTTCAAATTAGTATATTTTAGCTTTTAGCTATGACTCAAAGTTAAAATTTCTTCCTTTGCACTCATTAACATTTCATAACAGTGGCTTGATTACTCATAAAAATAGGACATCAATTTTATTTTCATAATAATTATACTATCCTGCATAGTCCTAAAATAATTCTTTACCACTTAGCATAGAAAAATGATATAGATGCTGCACATTCAAAATGATCATCAAAGCACTAACTTATCTGAAATATTATAGAATCCAAATACATACCTATTTTGATTATCTATACAGTTATTTTGTGTACAAATATTTCAGCGGGTTCACAAATATCCTATAATTTATTGATTATTGATTTTTATGCTGGTGAAACAATTATATTTCTTTCTGAAAAAATTATTGGAGAAATATTTCCTTTTTACAGTTTAACCCAACTGTCAGGTTATTATCTTGATTGAAGAATATATGCAGGGGTTTTACTATGATATAGTTACTAGATCTATATTTTTAAAAATGAAAATGATGATGTTACATAATGACATAAATAAAAGCATCATACTTGGATAAAGTATTAGAGTTCAAAGTCCATCTGAATATTATATATACCATTCTGCTTTTATTCTTTTTTGAATAAAACAGTATCACTCTTATTATTTGCGTTCTATTGGCATGGATAAATTCATTATAATTTCATGCGGTAGAGAAACGATAAGTTTTGAAGTTAAGAACAGTTTGATCTAATTTATAATAGCATGTACATGGGAATGCATTAGTTTTGAAGATTGCAAGCAAGGTAACACCTCAAATCCTTTAATATCTTTATAAATATTTTAAATACATACTTCTTATCAAGTATAGAAAAATAGTATATACATATATAATTTTTTCTGATAAAGTGGTCTGATTTATATAACAAAGAACGTGCAACAATTAACCACTTCCTATCAGATCTATTTGGTTGATTGTCAAGGAGATGACATGCAATAGTAATGTCTTTCAGCCTTTAGAGCTCTGACATAAATACCAGCAAGAGTCTCAATCACCTGAAGGAAAATGGGTATTATCTAGAAGCAACAATCAAGCACTAAGAAAGAAAAATAAAATGGACAAAACAAAAAAACCTTCACTTCACACAGCACGTCTTCCTACTCCAAAGCTCCCTAGTCCTAGCTGTCCAAATTCTTTGGTTCTAAGGAGCAGTGAAGAATGACAAATTCTGGAGTAATTGCACACAAAAAAAACTTTTCTGTGTGCTTTTGAAATTTAGAAATCATTTCATTTCAGCCTCTGCCTTTGGATTTTCATGATCATCTAACAAAAGGCAAATTGTCATGCAGTACTGGATGATCTTACAAATATGGGACTTACTTGTAATATCACTCAATCAGTCCCATTATGCATTTATGGCTTTGCTGTCTCTAATGTCCTCTGTGCTGGTCTTAACGTCTTCTGAAGTTTGTCCAAGTGTAGTTCCTGTTGTTCCTTCCAAGTCCCAAGATCCTGGCAGGTTTTCAAGGCTTAATGAACTAACTCCCTGACTAAAGCTGCCTTCCTCAGATCTGCTGGGTAACACAAGGTGTAAAGATGTCTCAGATGAAGAACAGATAGATGACGACAGAGTTGCTGAAATAGACTGGAGAGGAGTCAAAGTAGTATCTGAATGGGGAGAAGTGCAGCCTACAAACTGCAAATTATCTTTTTGGATAACATGGTAATGGGAAGGTGAATATTCAAAGCCTGAAGTACAATAAAATTCACCATCCGTAGAATTTTGAACATGGGATTCAGTTCTTTGTGGGCTGCTACTAACGGAGGTTGGATCCATGTTCCAAATTCCTACAATGGTGTTGGAATGGCAGAGCTGTGCTTTGGTGCAAGTAACCTTTGGTACCTGCATATGCATACAGGGTTGCTGTGTAGTCCATGTCATTCTCTTTTGTAAGCTTTCCATGTTGGGACTTGTCACTGGGCCATGAATTGCACAGAAATCTGGTGATTTTTGGGCCACCAATAGGTTTTCCAGAAGATGAGTAACACTCTTCATGTCTTTCCTTAATTGAGAGACCTCTTGGCTCAAAGCAGTGACCTAGAATGTCATAAATTTATTTAATCAATCAATCATTCATTCATTGGTATATATACACACACACACACCGATATCATAAGAAAAGAAGGAGAATTGAGTCATAAAAACATTCCTAATATGATTTCTCCTCGAATATATGGGATCCAAAATGCTATTCCAAGATCAATTACTTCTATGGTGACAGTCTTCAAGTTTATGTATTCAGGAACTTGGCAGCTTTAGTATCAAATGTGTGACAAGATCAAGGCTAATCCTGGCCTCTTGAGTCTCTCGATTACGAAGTCTAGTTATATTCCTGCCCTATAGAAGTTCCTTATAAATTAAGCCTCTTTTATGCACATAGCATTTCTCCCATTGGGTTAGTCTAGACTGAGCACAGCTACTATTCAGGTAGAGGATTTTTTAAAAAAATAATGGAGATTATTTCGGATTGACAATGAGCACATGTCACCCTTTGTTTGTGAGGAGCAAAGCTAGAAAGACCCATTTTGTTGGTTTGCTCTTGCATTTTTCATGTCTGAATATGATGTTAGTCAATGTTATGCTTGACAAATTAGAAACAAGGTTTTCTGTTTTTTTTAAAAAGTGAACCTGACTGAAAGGTTGCTTTTTATTTTTTTATTGTTTATTATGTTGATATCAAAAATATATTTTGTGGCGCAAAATATTCCCATGTGTACTTCGAATATTTTTCTGCAAATGTTGTTACATGTATCAGCAGATAGCAGCACCTGGACATCCTTGCCTGGATGAAACTAAGTAGGGTTATCATGGTTAGTATTTTGATAAGAGATCTCCAAGGAATGTCAGAGGTGTAGACAAGGATCTCTCTCTCTAAAATCTCTATTTTAAATCAAGATAGTAGTTGTGATTGAATCTCCATCTCTTTTTACATGTGTCAAAACCTGTAAAAAGAGATAACTCTTAAATTGTGCAATTGCAACTATTAGGTTGATTTTCCAGCACTCACTTCCACCTATGAATTCCCTGATTGTAAGAAAATTGGGATATATTATATTCTAGAGAAGACAATGGCAAGCCGCTTTTATAGTGCTATCTAGGAAACAATATGCCGATAAAGTAATTGGAGGTTGAACCAAACTCAGAAATTTAATTTGTACATAAAAGACTTTATGTATATAATGGTATTTAATATGGCATAAAGGAATATGATGGAAAAGCAAATTTGCCAGACTTTGGTTGAGGAATTATGTTATTATAAAATAATACCAATTATATTTGGTTCAGTAAACTTATATTTTATTTCACTTTGATCTGACTTACAATTCTTTTATTGGGTGGGGGTTGTCTTACTAGTGTGTGAAATATTGTTATATTATATGTTCCTTTTTCCAAACTTTTGGGTTTCTATTGGGGGATAGAAAACTGAACCTAAGAAACCTTGTTGTGAATCTTTGAAGTTGTTGAAATGGCAATATAGGCTGATTCAAACCACACAGAACCTTTCAATTGAAAACGGGTAATAATATTTCTTTTGCAAACAATTTATTATCCATTCTATTCTATTGAATGAATTGAGAGGTTTAGTGAGGTATTATATCTCAATAGTTTTGTAATTCTTTAACTTTTAAATCTATATTTTTATATTATAACTTCATTTTTCTGTATTATAACTTCAAAGAATCTGAAGAACTGTCTTTGATTTTGTATATAGACAATGGATCATACATTAATAAGGTTTGTGTAGGCTTTAAGGCAGGGATGTCAAACTTGCAGTGTCAGGTCATCATGTGATGTTTGTGCCTTCTCCCCCTTTGGTAAACTGGGAGTGGGGGTGGCCAATGTGTGACGTATGTGGCCTGCGGCCTGCGAGCTTGATACCTGCTTTAAGATGATTTGGGAAGGTCTAGAACAACTTGCTGTAGCCAACTCACCACGGCTGATTCACCACGGCTAACTGTCCCTGTGGGACAATTTACTACAGACAATTCAACATAGGATAGCTTAAGAGAGGGTCAAATGGATTGCAGCAGGCCTGTCTTGTTTTAGGCTAAGGCCTGCTTCAATTCACTTGCCCCTCTCTTGAATTATCCTGTGTTGAATTGTTAAATTGTCCTGTGGTGAGTTGACCTGCAGAGAGTTGGTTGCAGAGAGTTGCCCCATTCTGGATTTTGAAACAGTGCTTAGAAGAGTGCTTCAGAATTGTAGCATTAATTAATATTGCTCTTCCTATTTCCAAGTTCCATGAAACTGAAAGAAAGAAGTGGGTAGTTTAACAGTCAATTTAAAGTAGCAGCTTCATTTTCCAGGATTGTGAGGAAGCTTGAAATCATTGCTGTTTTAATCAGCAGGAGCTTCAATTCTTTTGTATTGCATATGTATTAAAGAGGTAACTACAAAAAGTAGCAGCCTCATTTTTCAGGACATATGTACATATGTATGTATGTATTAAATTAATTGGCTATGCACTTTAACACAGCATAACTCTGAGAAGTTTATATTAAAAAGATAAAACTATACCAAACTATATACAATATGAATAAAATACTATAAAAATATAAATTTTATATTTATTGTCCTTCTATTTTAAATATATATTTAAAATCTGAGCTGTCTGTTGTTGTTCCCTGCCTTTTTCAGTGATCTTGGGTTATTGATTGTTGACTGCTATTTCCCTGAAAATAAGTCAGGGTCTTATTTTCTTTTGACCCCTGAAATAAGTGCTTGGCCTTATTTTGGGTGAGATCTTATTATTTTTGAGTTGCAGGAAGTGGCGAGCATGGTCACCTCATTCAAAAATCTCCAGAATGTTCAAAAGTCCCGAAAAGACTAATAAAATTCATCTTTTTGAGGTTGGATCATTTTGGAGATTTTTCCAGTGAATCATAGAAAATAGTTCCAATTCCAGGGTAAGAGAATATACTCTGAAGAAACATGTAATATATCTCAACTGTTTGCTATAGAGTACTGCAAGTTTTTCAACAAATCTTTACTGGATTAAGAACTAATATTTTAGAAGAAATACGGATAATTTAAAATATTTTTAAAGAAAAATATGTTAAGAAAAATTTCCTTGTGAAATTCTATTTATTAATAAAATACTTTCATTATGATTGAATTGATTAGCATTTATGCTCTTGGGGTTTTGATACATTTTACTGTATGGGTGTATTTGAAAATAAGCCAAAAAGTTTAATGTGATAAACTCCTGGGTATTATATTGTAAAATTGTAGTCTTACTTCTATCATATGAAAAAAATATATCTTTTTGGCTGTTGAATACATGCTCATTCCTACTAAAGTAAGAAATGAATGCACATATATTCCACTTTTATCCCCAAAGCTGCTATTTATGAAACCTTAGAGTGTATCTAGTTTTTACAATGTATCAGAATCTACAGAATAATTTCAATGAAATACAAAAAGAACTTACCTGATTATTAAGCTTGTTGATCTGTTGTTTCGTTTCTTCTGCTTTGATAACTAACACAGCAGCACCAACTTCATTCTCTGTAATCACAACAATGCATAGGAAGGAATGTTGTGTACTAATAATGTATAGGCTTAATATTGTTTCCTGGCTTTCTTCTAATCAGAGAGACAACTGTGTACCGACTGTATCAAAACTAGCATTTAAAACTAAGTGCAATTCCAACAACTTGGGATTTCATAAAGATAGGAGAGATCATGATGAATACAGATTCAAAAATATATTAAAAAATTGAACTCGGAGCTGAAACTGATCTTTAAACGATGTGCTGCAGATGTCATATGTAAGGTGACCAGACATCCCGATTTTGGCAAGTCAGTCACGATTTATAACAATTTGTCCCATGTCCCGGGGCATTTTTAAAAAGTCCCAATTTTCTGGCTTCATGTTGAAAGCCCAGTGGATTTGCTTAAGAAATCCTAACTGGGGCAAGACAAAAGACACTCTGTCTAACTCCCCCTCTGTCCCAGTACTTTCATTGAAGATATTAAAACAAAACATTAAAGCAACAAAATGGACCTCCTCCCCCGCGCCGCTTTTACCTCAT